CCCCAAAACCCCAAAACCCCAAAACCCCAAAACCCCGAGAAGATATTAAATAGTTGAGCTGTAGCTATGGTTGACACCTCCTCTTAATCTTTGTAGTTGTTCTGCCCTCCAAAATAATTAGCAAGGTCAAGAGTACCCCTATTAGAGACTGACTTGGTATAGAAGCATCCACAGGTATTAGAGTCTGATAATGTCGACATTCTGGAACAATTTTTAGGATTTTCAGTAACCTGAAATGGTGTGACAGTCAAAATTTGATCTGCATTCATGCCCAGGTTTTGTTTCTTATCACTCCGATGCTCATAAAGGAACATGGAGGTTATTATTGTCATGTAAATTCTGATTAATGGGCTAAGTAGCGGAATATGAATGAAAAAATTTTAGTAATGAGTTTTAGAAATTTACTTACATGGCAAAGTAGATAATGTCCATTTTTTGGTGCCACAATTGCAAACTTCCCTCGTCAATATCGGTGCTCCAAGAAGCCTTACACAAAACTGCTCACCGCTATGACTCTCTTACCATTATGCTTGATCAGTAATTGGGCTAAATAGCTCAAGCAGATGCTCGAGTGCTGATCCAGAAACTGGTGGGTTCGTCTCCAGCTCTCTAGGATGCTTTAAATATCTCAGATTTTATAATTAATTAAAATCTAAATGAAAATTTCTCTCGCAGTCGTACTTTGCTTGGCTCTTGCTATGACAAGTGCCTTCAGAGTCAGGTAAGACTCCATTCACATGTGCTACTAATCGTCGATGGCTAGCAATAGAAAGTATTCATTTGTTCAGTTGCTGATTCATTAGCATATTAATGAAGAATTTATTTACTGTGTTTGATCAATGATCTAACTCAACATAGACAAGGAAACGGAGTCCAGCAACTCATGACTGACATGCAACAAGGTATCCAAGATGGTAACCAAGCTCTTACTGACACCGAAGCACTCTTCAACGATGCCACCGAAGCCACTGAAGGCATGGCCAATCAATTCATTGGACAAGGTCTCAATGCTGCAGGACAGCTCACTGGAGCTGCTGTTGGAGGAACCAGACTTCAGCAGGGTGTTGGAGATGCTGTCAACGTTGCCACTACTGACGGTACTACTTTGACTAATGACGCTGTTGAGCTTACCAACGACGCCACTGCTGTATTCAACGACCTCAACTCTCAATTCTTGAACACTGCCACTAACTTCATGGGTGGTATGATGGGAGGAGCCACCGGAGGAGCCACTGGAGGAGCCAGACTTCAGCAAGGAAACCTCGCTCAAGACATCGGAACTCTCAACCAGGCCACTCTCGGAGCTATCCAAGACGGAGAAACCGCTTTCAATGACGCTCTTGATCAAACTGAGTTATTGACCAACAACGCTCTCCAAGGACTCGAGAATGCTATGGGTGCCCAAGGAGCCACTATCAATGCACCAACCAGACTCCAACAAGCCACTCAATCTGATGTAGCTGATGACACCAACGCCGTCACTAACGACTTCGCTGGCTTGACCAACGACGGAATTGCTTTGACAAACGACTTGTTACAACAAACCAATGCTGCTTTCGCTCAATTGATGGGAGGAATGACCGGAGGATCCAGACTTCAGCAAGCCACTCAATCTGATGTAGCTGATGACACTACCGCCGTCGCTAACGACTTCGCTGGTATGACCAACGACGGTATTGCTTTGGTGAACGACTTGTTACAACAGACCACTGCTGCCTTTACTCAGTTAATGGGAGGATTTACTGGTGGAGCTACAGCTGCTCCAGCTGCTACAGCTGCTCCAGCTGCTCCAGCTGCTCCAGCTGCTCCAGCTTCAGATGATACTACCGCTGCTCCAGCAGGTGGTGATGCCGCCGCTGCAGGAAGAAGAAGACTACAGAGATTCCACTAATTCGAGAAATATAGAAGGGTAAGCTAACAGAGAAGTAGTTTTCTGGTAGTTTATCAATTAACTAATCATAATCCAAAAAATAAAAAAATTAATTGGTTGATTTCCAATGGGTTGATCATACCTCGGGGTTTTGGGGTTTTGGGGTTTTGGGGTTTTGGGGTTTTGGGG